AAGGGATTTTTTAACGTTACAAAGCGTACCACAAATGCAAGCTACCTTCTCGCATAGAGTACAGCCACACGGATGCGGCAACAACCCCGAAATTGCGTAACATGAGGTTGCAAAAATTATGTACAAAGATTAAGAAAGTAAACCGTTATCTGGGATTGCTCTTGGCAATGTTAACAGCAAAGGAAATGGGAAAGCCCCGTGTTGACAGTTTCTGCTGGTGGGGTTCCGTGTCAATGGCAGGGGTATGGGCGGGGTACGGCATAATGAAATTATATTCAACCAACATTTGTGTGTGAGTGTGTGTGTGTGTGTGTGACAGATGAGTTTTGGTTTATGTGTGAGATTTGCTTGTGTTTTATGTGTGGCATCGTAAAATATGGTAACCAAAAAACCAAAAACAAAATAAAAAGAATTTTAAAAACAAACATTAAACATGTGCTCAACTGAAACGGGGACAAGCAAAGAGCAATCAAGTGATTCGTGGCAAATAAAAACGTACCTGTTCTTAAATAATAAACAAGTATAATTACTTATAAATATACATATATATTACGTACATAAATAATTTGTAGTGATATCAAAGTTATATTGTACGATATAAAAACAAGTTAAAAAAGAAAAAGAATTAAATGGATATTTTTCGAAAAAAATTGCTCATGATTTCAATTTCTTACTTTTAAATATCTCAAAATGTTATCTATAATTAAACTGAATACCAAAAAACTAGTCACATTTACAAATAAAATAAGCAATAAAATATTTAAATATAAACAAAAAAATAAAAAGTAAGCCGATCCTGCCAGGAGTCGAACCTGGAATCTTCTGATCCGTAGTCAGACGCGTTATCCATTGCGCCACAGGACCGTTAGCTACTTCGTCAGCAATTTCAATACTTGAAAAGCAACTTGCTATGCTCAGCATAGACGCGAGCAGCGAACGATCGAACGGGCGCTTATCACAGCTATTTTTAGCTCACAACAAAAACAACACAATAAACGAAACATGAGAATTAAGTGTGAATAAATAAAGCAACAGTCAAAAGCAAACACAACAACACCGTCGCACTGTGAGCTATAATAGAGATAGAGATATGTATATTAAGAGAGAGATAGCTGCATAAGCGTTGAGTCTCTCGAGAACTGGTTAGCGTATATGACCCTACACACAATAGAGGAGGCTTGACAGACAATTTAAGCACTCGTGTACAGTAGAAACTCATCATCAGCAAACGACAAATTCTTGCTTAAATACAATGACAATGCCTCGAACGTCTGTCGACAGGCAAAAATGTAACATGAATTCCGATTGATTTCCATCAAAATCAACTGTCCGATATCCGCTTTGTATGCTTGAATAGCCTGTCCATGTGCCTGTCCGTGAGTGTATGTGAGTGTCTGTGTGTCTGTGTGTGTGTGTGCCTGTGTCTGTCGTTTCCGGTTTGCTTCGTTTGATTCCGATTCTAATTGTTTTTGTCTACCCGGAGTGCAGTACAGTTCCCATTACCAGCTGAAATCGCTTTGCGAAAATTACCTGGCTGCAGGAAAACTTTATCCCAAATGGGCAAATAATTATTCGTGCAAACCAAACCAAATCAAACCCCTAGGCAAAAATTAAGCAAATATCACGTCGATGGTCGAACCAACGAAAATCAAAGACAGGCAGCCAATGAGACTCGGTTCGGATACAACGTAGTCCCGTTACAAAAATTCCTGCTCAAAGTGCGTGTGAAAATCTTTACGTGTGTGTCGAAAGTTTTTTGTTTTTTGTTTTTTTTTGTTTGTGGTAAGTGTAGGTAGGGTCGATATCAGATCGGATTCAGTTTGATTGTTTGAGGTTTTAATTACAGAGAGTGGTTATTTGGAGAAGTTATCGAGTGCATGAGAGGAAGGTTGAACTAATACAAAGCTGGAAATTGGCACAAATTGTGGCTAATCTTTGAAAGGTTTTTCAACCGATGAGATTGCTTTAACTCAGCTTGACTGTAATTGCAGAAAACGTTCATTTTTATAGTGTATATACATTACATATAGCTTGATTAAGACAGCTATAAATAATTTATAAATTGTCTTGCAAGGAATCATAATTTCGTATTTATTATTATTAGGAAAGATTACTTTAAAAGAAAAAAAAAAACGATTATTAAAAAGAGAATTGGCGACTAATTTCGGAAAAAATATTTTTTAGAAATAATAAAAGTGCGAATTAATTTTCACAAAAAAAAAAAAAAAACTTTTACACAATAAACATTAATTGTTGTTTTAACTTACGCATGACATACATACATATGTACATGTGTACGATGTGAACTGGCAAACTGAAGTTGAAATCATTAGAAAACATGCATGTTGTTTGCGCAAACTGTGACACAGCAACTTTTGCGCAAACAAGACATAAGTAACTCCAAGAAAAGCACAAGCTACTCGCTTTAACTTCGTTTCGAACTGCAACGAGTAAGCTAAGCGACCCGCGACCCGCAACCCGCAACCCGCAATCCCGACCATACATGTATCCCTTCCGCCCCGCCAGGCAAACCGTGCGGCGGGGCACACAGTAAGTAAATTGTACAGTTGGCGCAAACGAGTAAAGAAATCGCTCATGCAAAACTGATTGACTGTAACGAAATACAAAAAGCAAAGAACTGTAAAGAGAACACGAAACTTGTTACAGACGCTGCTGATTTTAGAGCCAAACCGAACCACATAAAAAAAAAAAAATAAAAATAAAAAAAAAACTGGAGGGAATACCCAGTGCAGCATGCCCCGTTATCTTTTCTGCGTTTATTTATGTAGTTTGGCTGCTGCGCCCGTACGTATGCAACGTTTTCATTACTTTTACTTTGTGCAATAGCGTGCTGCATAAGCCAGGGCTGCAGAATAAACCAGATCAGTTCATTTGGCAGTGAATCCAAGCAAACGCCAAGCGCATACATATACTCCAATAAGCCAATTGCAATGTTTTCCATAAAACTATTGGCAATTCAATTTTCATTGAAACATATTTTATTTGTTTTATTTATCATAACGTGCTTTTATATATATTACGTATTACGTTTACGCATTGCTTACAGCCCTGGCAGCACTCGCCTGATTTTTATTGAAACGAAAATAACGTTGGACGCCGGCGTTGTGCACGCCTTTTTGTCGGCTGCGCACTTAATTGAAAGGAATTGTTAATTCACAAGTCTTGGCCCCGCACACCCCCTACCCTATTTCTTACTCCATCTCTTTCGCCGATGACTGTACGTGTGTGCGTGTGTGTGTGTGTGTCTCGCTTTGTGCGTGATTGGTCGGCACAAATGGAGCTGCTTAATGATGACTGCCGGCGACTGCAGGCGTTGCCTGTACACGCCCTTTGGCCGCACTCGAATTCTGTGCACAAATTTCAATTATTTTAAGTTTTTATAGGGCTTACGATATGTGCGCACACATTTATTCGTTGACAATTTACAGCCGTCTGTTGTTTTCGTTTCGTTACCCGGCCGCCAGGGGGCGTCTGTGTGGCAGCTGTCAACGCGCTGCCTTTGTCGCCATGTTGATTCCTTGACACTTATTTGTCATTTTTAGCATATAATAGCATTTTGTGTGGATTATACAAAGCCTATAAATATGTGAGCACATGTGTACATATGTCTGTACAATGTTCACACTGTGTGGATTCGTCAGACACTTGCGCTCTGCCACTTAACCGTAATAATTGCTCACGTTCTCACGCCCTCCACCTACAAATGAACACCCCATTGTGGCTTTTAAAACCAATTTAGCAAAATATAAGAAAGCTTATGCATTCCCATTCCAGCCGGCAACCAGGTCAAACACTCTTCTAAGATGTGTGTAATTAGACGTGACTTTTCCTCAAGTTTTTCTGGCTCCTTTTGTGCGCTAGACGCGGGGGTGACGGTTACGGGGAGTCTGTGCGGCTTAAAGCCTTCTTAACACTGTTGTTTCTTAGACATAGGCACGCCCCAATTGTACTAGGGCATGGCCCGTGGTGTTGATGGCGGCGCGGTTCAGATTGAGGTTAGACACCAAATGCCAAAAGCAATTATAGAGTATAAAGTTAAATGTAACGGCATAATGTAACTGTGCTTAAGATTTTACTGTTAAGACTGTAGAGAAACCATCGAAAACAGACTTAATTTATTATGCTAGCTAGCCTAAAGGTTAATTAATATTTATCATATTTTAAAATATTTGATGGCCTTTATATATATATATATCTTGTTCGTATTTTTTAAAAATTAAGCCCAACACTTCTGCAACCCCCAAACCCCAAACCTAGCCTGCTAATCTAATTATCATTTAGCTGTTTCCTTGCAAGGTGCCAGTTTAATTGTAGAGCGGAAATCTAACGCCTCGGAATATGATGCATAGCCCTATCGGCACATCCGTTACATTCGCCAAATACAGTCATCTGTGAGGGAGACATCAGCCTGAGCCCGGCTAGCACAGCCGCATGTTCGGCGTCTTTGGTTTGCGCAAATTGAAAACATGCCAAATAATTACACATTTTTATATGTGAATTTTTCAATTTATATGCCGTCAGGCTAACGCGGCGTGCATATATTTGTTCGGTGACGTGTCACGACATTGACATCCACGACATATTCCCACTACACACATAAAACCCAAGTCATATAGGCCCCGTAGTCGTTAACTTATTTATGTATGTAAATTATGTAAATGTCGACCTTGAAGCCTCCCTCAGCTTTCAAATCTTACAGAGCATTGCAGTCGTTTAGTCGGTACATGAACAGATTTAGCATGGGCACTAACCTAAGCCAAAATCCTGCAAATAGAATGTTAGTGTTAACAGAAACATAAGGCATGTTAAGGGCTAACAAATGTTAACGGCTATTTGAAATTTGGGATAGGTTCATACAGTTCTTTGGCATTTATCCATTTTTATAGACTTTAGCTTAGATCTATACATTGTTTAGCTACTTTATGAAAACTTCAAGGGAAGTTGCTTTCAGTTTGCTGTTACTAAGAATAAATCTAAGATTTTTTTCATATTTTTCTTTATTTATGATCTTTATGTATGTTATTTAATGCGTTTACAAATGTCTCTTGATGCCTGAAAGAAAAATAACACGCACACAGAAATTATATAGCTGACATATAACAATGCTCTGTGTTAAATTTTGATTAAACCCATTTATATATATATATACATATATATATATATATATATATATATATATATATATATATATATATATATATAGCGATCAGTTGACACCCTAGATCAAAGACGACGATCGATTCACATATACATAATATATAAATTAGATATCAAATACAAAAGCAGACGAAATGCATTTTCATACATTATAAATGTACAAAGAAAAAAGAAAATTCAAAAATCATGTTAGTGAAATGATCAAAAAACATAAAGGGGAGAAGGAGAACTAACAGAATGATGAATGGGCCAAAAAGGAAAAGTAGAAGGGAACAGCTTACGGGCTTTTGGGAAATAACTAATTGCATTTAACTAATTTAAACGCTGAGTAACTGGCAGCTTCTTGCGCCGTCGGCGCAGCTGCTGACTGCGATCCCAGTACTCGTAATAGCGTTCCTGTTTTAACCACTCCTGATATTTATACCACCATTCCTCCCATTTGATGTAGTCCTGCCCAGAAACGAGAGATTTAATGGGTTAGATTATACTCATCCTGATTTGGAATATTCACACTTACCTTAAGATCCAAGTCCCTTAAATAACCGCGACTCTTGTAGTACTCGTAACGCACTCGCACATCATCCCACGACAGCATGCCCGACGGTGCTGTGGTGGCCAACTCCTCGGGAAAATGACCAGCCGGTGCCGGTGAGTATGAATAACGACGCGGCGGCGATTCCATACCCTCCTCGATCATCACTTTAAGCGCACCCCCTGCCGAGTCTTTGGTTATGCGCATATTCTCCATATTACTGCGATCGATGCTCCACTGAGCCATTTTGCCAAAGCGCTCGGAGAGCGTTAGACGCGTTGTCGCCGAAAATGAGGGTAGTGCAGGGGTCGCATCGTCGCTATCGGAACCGCCCGAATCATCCGAATCAGATGACGAGTTGGCATTATTGCCGCTGGCACTGGCACTCGTCGTGACCGTCGCACTCGAATGCTTCTTTCGTTTCTCACCTTCGATTTTGACGCGCGTGCGTAACTGCATAGAGGGATTGGTGGAACAGATTATTGATTGGGATTATTGAGAGCCTGGGCTGACATTACTAACCTCCTTTTCCTTCTTTTTCTTTTTGGCCTGCGGTGCTGCTGCTGCCGCTGCTGGTGCTGCAGGCTCTGGTGGCTCTGGCGGCCGATGCTTGAGACGCGGATCCTCTGGCGGCGGTGAATGACGCGACGCGCGACCGACTTTCATATGCGCATCCGACGCTAAACCGCGCTCGTGGCTTATACGCCGCATTTTTCCCTCGCGATATTTGTCAATGCCAGCACTGCCACGCACCGGCGGCGGCGTTGTGGGACGTCCATGCAAGCGACCATGGGATTCAGGCGGCGGCAACGGCGGCGGCGCACCGGCGCCCCGATAATGGCCACGTGGCTTAGGCGGCGGAGAACGCGGACCGCGGGATCTGCGAGCATAAGATAGAATTTAGTGATCACAAATTTATTCCAAAGGAAACAAAGTGCATTATGGTGCAAAAAAGGGTAAAAATGAAAGCAACTCAGAATGAGCAGCCGATGACTGGACAAAGAGACACCTGCTCGACTAATTAACTTTTCGCTGCACCTGGAAATGCTCATGTGGACAAATGGTTATCCATGTTAGTCAAAAACTCACCGAGATCTGTGACGATGACTGGGCGAGCACAGCGAACAGGAATCATCCGAGCTGCTGCTCATGGAGCTGTTGGAACGCGAGCGCATCGAATGCTGCAAAAGGATATGAAATAAATTAAACAGAATAAGCTAGCTAGGACAAGTAACTTACCCTTGGCGGCGGTGAGGGTGGACGCTTGGAGCGCGGCAAAATGTGCGCTGCGCCCATGCCACGTTTATCGATGCCCGACGAAGACGACGATGGCGGCGGCAGCGGTGGCGACCGACGCCGGCTGAGAGGTGAACGCGACGCGTTTGCCGGCTTGCGACGCAGCTGGGATGAGCCAGCGACTGGTTCGGGCGGCGAACGCGGACGACCATGACCGTTGCCCGGACGACGCAGCATGTCGCTGTTGCTATTGTGATGGTTGTTGGGCGAGCGGGGCATACTGCGCGGCGGCATGGGTGGCGAGCGTGGGCGGCCACGCAATGGCGGCGGCCCGTTATGATGTGGCGAAGGCGGCGACATAACCCCCCTGCGCTCCATAAACTGCGGCGGCGGTGAACGGCGTCGCGCATGAGATGGCGGCGGCGGCGACAGCGGCGGTGATTTGCGCAAACGCGAGCGACTTCGCGAATGCGGCGACCTGGAGCGGCCGTAACGCGCGGACGACGACGCCGCCGGCGGCGGGCCAGAGTTGGCCGGTGCCCCCGGATAACGGGAATAGCTGGCCTGTGCCGCATCGCGTTCACTTTCGCCGGAGCTGCTCTCGCCCTGAATGTACATTTTCTTATAGCCGGTGTGGCGCCAGCGATTCGGGTCTTTCTCTTCGGCCTCGATCAGTTTCTTGTCCCAGTAATCGTTGGTGGTGTTGGCACGTGCCTTCTTCATAACGTTATCGATTTCGCGTCGCTTGCCGGCGGGCAAAGATGGATCTGCAAATTCATAACGTAATTGCGTTCTTTTAGCAATATTTACAGGGTACAAATATTATGTTTATTTTTCTCCAGTCCCATCCTATCACCTTATAGTGATAATGTGTGACTTCTTATACAGAAAAAGAAAGTGTTCCCGGAAGCAGGTTACACAGATAAGCTAAGATTATCAGAAAGCATTACGACTTGTTGTCCTAAACCATTTAAAATGTTAATTGAGTGTACACAGTTGTAGAATATTTCAATATTTGAATTTAGCCCCCATTTCATCACTTTATTTTGAAAAACTATGGCTTTAAGTTGTGGAATTTGCACACATTTGGATGTCACATCTCAGGCCCGAAAGTTTCAGAAAGTTTTAAAAATCAGACTATGTGGCGAAGGGCTAGGGAAGAAACGCACCTCGTTTAGACACTGGACACCGCCCAGGGTATCTCCTAGTCGTGCAATCCAGACCAGCTAGTTTCAGACTATATACAACGAAATATTTAGTTGGCCACAGACTGTAAAGGAATAGGAATTTGTTTGAACCTCCAACCGTTGGGTACACCGCGCACAATTTATGTCTCTGCGTCTGCCCACATGATCTGAACAGACTTAAATTAAGTTTTTTTTTTTCGATATTTACAACAATATATCAGCTAAATATATTAGCTATTTTATAATTTGTTGAATGTGTTAACCCTGTTTTGATGCTAAAACTGTTTAAATATAACGGTTTTTGTTTTTAAATTTGTTTTGTGCTACAACAAACTTCGATATATGCCGTATATCGATTTGTCGTCGTGCTGCTTACACCAATTTTACCGAGGGTATTAATCGATACATTTTTATCGATATACCTATTAGGTACCTGTTATGCGTGCAGCTGTCGGCTGTCTGTCCATGTGCAGTTTTGGATTCATTTCGGGGCGCCTGCGCGACGCCATTACGCGGAGCGTACCGCGATCTCTTTCGCGCACGATTAATTTGCTTTTCGGTTAATTCGCGCGCAACACTATCTCATTTTCTTCTTTCTTTTATATATATATCATAAAAAACACATACACAAAAAGCTGCAAATATATTACAATTGATTAAAAAACATGAGAGAAAGAGAGAGGCATTAGAAATGGCGTACAATAACAACAACATCAACAACAACAGCAACAATAAGAGATAGAAAACAGTCCCAGCGTAACAACGTAAGAACGGGAGCAACACGCGCGCTTGGCAGCTTAAGCATAACGTCATAACGTTATTAACCCACACACATAGCTAACGCTTTATGAGCAATGTGTGTGAGAGAGATGGAGAGAGACCGGGTCGCGACAAACAGCTGGAAACGTATGCGACTTGGTACGTGCGCGTCGCGGCTGCCATAATAACGTAGCGTTACCGCTGCCTAAACGAATGGACGCCGATTCTTCAACCCAGGCCGCGGCACACATGGCCATGAAGGCCAATTAAATGCAATGTTTCAAAATTCATTTGTACTCGCGCAATGTACCGACGCGCGCACCGGCTTCTCATCGACATTTGTTGTGCTCCTGACGCACAGAGCGGCACACAACACACACGCACAGACATATGAATGTATGCATATATACATATATATATATTTTTTCTGTTTTTGCTTTGTCAGCGACAAATAATCGACACCGAACACGAACCGAAGATAGGCAATTAAGTTATGTTATGCTAATAAAAACGATAATTGCAGGCACTTAACTAATTTGCTTACATTTGTATACGTTTTGCGTGCACGCTTGTATAGTTTTTTGTTGGTTTAAAACACACAAATGGCAAACACGGCGCTTAATATTTTTCTCACACAATTTTCATGCGACGGCCATATTTGCGCTGGGAACAGTGTGACCAAACTCCAAATTATCTAGAAGCAATGCAAGCGCATCATTTACCAACAGAACTGTTAACTTAATGTTAAATGATATCGATATATTATTATCACGCATCCCTACCACACACACGTGGTTTCTTTTCAACAGCGTTTATAGAGTGCCGCGTGCGTCTGTAATTTGGATTGGTTTGCAGTTGAATTAAAAAGGAAAACTACACACACATAAAATGGGTAAGCCAGGTGAATTGCCCCTAAGCAACGTCAAGCACATTGTTGTGTATATCCAAAGGCACTTTTCCAGGGCCAAAACAATGCAACAAATGCTTAACCTACGAAAGCAATGTGTTTGAATATAATTTAAATCGTTAATGTTTTTTCTTTATAGGTTTCAGTCCTCGTGGTGGTGGTGGCGGTAGAGGAGGCGGTGGCGGAGGCTTCCGCGGTGGCGCCGGACGTGGTGGCGGTGGCGATCGCAGAGGAGGCGGCGGCGGATTTGGTGGTCGTGGCGGTGGCGATCGCAGAGGGGGCGGATTTGGCGGTCGAGGAGGTGGAGGTGGTCGTGGTGGTGGCGGTGGCGGAGGCCGCGGAGCTGGTGGTCGCGGCGGTTTTGGTGGACGCGGCGGTGGTGGTCGCGGAGGCGGCGGCCGTGGTGGTGGCGCAGGCGGCTTCAAGGGCGGCAAAACAGTGACCATTGAGCCACATCGTCACGAGGGCGTGTTCATAGCCCGCGGCAAAGAGGATGCTCTGGTCACACGCAACTTCGTGCCCGGCTCGGAAGTGTACGGCGAGAAGCGCATTTCCGTAGAGGTGTGTAAACCAAGACTTTTGTTTTCACGTTTCGCTGTCATATTGTGCTGTCCATGATGATGTTGTGCAGGGGTACAGAACATGGCAAAATGTGGCCATGAGCGTGCGTGACGTCTGCCCGCCTGTGCGCACTCCAGGTGCGCGTTAAGCAGCTGCGGGTGGCGTCCACGAGACGCTTAGAACTATAGCACTACTGAGACAGCTGATCCTGCAGCCACAGCATATCACTGGGAATTGGCTTAATCTGACATTTTTCTCTAATCCCTACCCACAGACTGGCGGCGAGAAGATTGAGTACCGTGTGTGGAATCCGTTCCGATCCAAACTGGCCGCTGCTATTTTGGGCGGCGTTGAGAAGATACACATGCCACCTGGCTCCAAGGTGCTGTATTTGGGTGCCGCATCGGGCACAACAGTGTCGCACGTTTCGGATGTTGTCGGACCTGAGGGTCTGGTCTATGCTGTGGAATTTTCGCATCGTTCGGGCCGCGATCTGATAAACGTGGCAAAGAAGCGGACCAACATTATACCCATCATTGAGGACGCACGTCATCCACACAAGTATCGCATGCTGGTTGGCATGGTTGACACCATCTTTGCAGATGTGGCACAGCCGGATCAGGGTCGAATTGTGGCGCTGAATGCGCAACATTTCCTTAAGAATGGCGGCCACTTTGTCATCTCCATTAAGGCGTCCTGCATTGACTCCACAGCGCAACCGGAGGCGGTCTTCGCCGCCGAGGTCAAGAAGATGCAGGCGGACAAACTGAAACCACAGGAACAGCTGACGCTGGAACCCTACGAACGTGATCATGCTGTTGTCGTCGGCGTCTATCGTCCACCGCCGAAGCAGTGAAGTTCTATTGCGGAGAATGTGGTTAGGTTTTAAGCTATATACATAATACTTCTATTAATACAGTCGTATTGTATTAAGTTTCTTTTTAAATATACAACAAAAATCAAACAAACCATAGTTAAGTTTATAAACAAATGCAAACTATTTTTTGTAATTGACGTACAAAATATATCACAAAATAACAACAATCAAATGCTTTTAAATTAGAAATAACTTTGATTTGGATAAAAACTATAAACATATTTAATATATTTTTCATATGGAAAAGGAAAATAAAAAGATCACTCTCGCTGCGGACAGGATTCGAACCTGTGCGGGTAGAACCCAATGGATTTCAAGTCCATCTCCTTAACCACTCGGACACCGCAGCACATAGCCAAAGACTGCCAGAAATTGTAGTTAAAAATAGACTGTCTGCACCGCCATCTATGAAAATAAATGTGAAATGCCCTGAAGCGCCATCTGCTGTAAGAAAATAAGTCCAGATGAGACTACTAAGATAAGTTGTTAGCAGTTTGGCGCCGCTCGATTCGAAGCTGCGGTGTCCGAGTGGTTAAGGAGATGGACTTGAAATCCATTGGGTTCTACCCGCACAGGTTCGAATCCTGTCCGCAGCGGGCTATACGAAATTTTTTTTTGTCACACAATTGTGTGGAGAAACAATTGATCTTGATTACATTTAATTAAATTAATTTATTTAGGATTGATGCTGGTGCTGGTTTCAAAATATAACAAAGTACAGAAAAATATCGTTTGCTTTACTGTTGTCGAGCATTTGCTTCAGGGACGAGACGAAACATTTTATCGCTTAAAATTCTTAAAATATTGCTTGCATGCAGATTTTGGTAAAATTTTTGATGATTCTGGCACACACACACATAATACAAATAGGGAACAAAATGGTTAAACTTTAATTCTTATCAACTATCAAAAATCGTGAAATCGTCGCAATTTTTTTTGTATCACCCAAATTGAGCGGAGAGCTTTTACAATTTGGCGCGCTTGGGCACGCCAACAGCCTCAAGGACACCGCAGCTCTCCAAGTGCTGGAACAGCGTCTCCAAGTACTCCTCACGATGTTTGATCAAATGGGCGGCATGCTGTGAGCGCGGCCAGCACTTGAACGTCACCTTTATGTTGGCGCGCTCCCAGTTCTCGCGCACAGCCTGATTGGAAGAGGGCGGCCCAATCGGATCGTTCTCGGATACAAAGAAAAGCGCCGGTGCCTTGAGCAGCGTCGAGTGGAACATCTGGCTGGAACGCATATAATGTATGGTGGCCTGATTGTGGAATGTCCTTAAATGGTAGAGCGTATAGTTGCGCAGGGCGCTCTGCATGCGCTCGTTCTTTGGGAAAATCGATTTCGGCAAGCCAACTGGGATTTCGGTTATATCTGCGGCACTGTCCCAGATTTGGCAAACGAAACGATCCAATATGCTGCCATACCGATCCATATCACGCGACATTTGCAACATTATTTCGCCCATCTGATATGCGCCCACCGAGAAGCCATGCATCACGATCGGTGCGTACGATTTGTTGTTCTCCAGAAATTTCAAAGTCTCGGCTGCGACCATCTGGCAAAAAAAAATAGAAAAACAAATAAACCAGTTGAGAAATGCGTCAACAAACGGCTATTCAATTTACGGCATCATCTACCTGTGTACCCTTGGCCGGCCAGAGCAGCTGCCAGGGTGTAATGTGCACCACCATAACGTCGAAGCCCATTTCCGTATAGATTTGCGCATACTTTTTCAGGTGCTTCTGTTTGGCCATTAGCCAGGCCATCATCAGGACCAGCGGATTGCCCGAGGGCTTCTTAAAGGCCAGCGTTTTGGGATCCACTTCGATGTTCGCCTTGTTGTTCGTATAGAGCGTCATATTTTTGGTAATATCCTTCGAGGATAAATACCGCCGATTCTTCAACGGTGCCATTGCGCTCTGCATAATCGAATTAGATAAACAGCGTTAGTTTCAAATGAAATATAAGTCTATAAGAAATGTTCTTTTGCTGAGAATTTCACCCAAATGAGTGAAATACAAGCGGAAAATGCCAAGCTCAACAAACAAATCAATATCAATTCCACTAATTTTATAAAATCCCGTTGAAATTGTTGCAACACTTCCACACCAGGTGTTAGCTAGATAATAACAGCTGGTATTGCTTGCGAATTGGATCAAATAAATAGTTTAAAGTTATATTTATACAATTCATGCCCAATATTGGCTTGGGGATAGGTCGAGTTGCTTTAATCGATTGCTCGATTAGATACGCTTGCCTCTGAGTGGCACGCCCCTATCAAAATCGCCTGATTGCTTAGCATCGAGTGATTAGATATGCTGCTTAACTGCCTAACCTATAGTATATATATGTATTTATATGTATATATAGTTTTATTCATGTCATGCGAATTAGCAGATAATGTTCTCATTAGTATTTGACAAATCTCTGAGCACAATTTGACCTTGCAGTCAATAAATCCACATGAAGTTCACAGATTTTAACAAATTATTGATAAGATAACACAGATAATACAAGAAGTTACATCAAAATTCGTGTTAGATTCAATTACCAGAATTGCTAATATATCAAATTTGAATACAAATTCCTAGTGTGACTTTTATAGATGTTGAAGATTTATGGACACTGCGAGCGGATATTGTGGACCGTCAGGGCAACAGGTGTGCAACAAACTAAATTTAAACATTCTGCACAGCGCTGGCGTTAATCCCGCAGACGTTACGTCTAATCAATTGATAAGAAGGTTGCAATTTAGATAAGCGTCAAACAAAGTTGTGGGCGAATTTTGAGTGTTATCGGTCGCAGAATGTAGATAATGCGTTTAGGCCAGCTACTGGGCCTTGAATTTTATACATTTGATATTTGAGCACAAGACAGAAATTGCATTTAAGCAAACAACTCACAAGTCTCTGGCGCTTATAGAACTTAAGCACTATCATCAATAATACGATAACTAGCGCAATTTGTATTATAAAATCCATAATTAGAATTATGCGCGACTGCAAAATGTGTGCAACATGTATTTGCAGTTATAAAAGCTTCGATCGACTGTCTTTAAAGAGCTTACAACATGGTGGGCGAGTGCGCCTAGTTTCCAATGCCGAGCCGTACAAATCTGGAAGGCATATACAAATCTGTGTGCGTGTGTGAGTGCAGGGGGATCTGAGTTGATATTGCGGCGGATTGAATTACTTTGCGGCAATGGAAGCGACCACCTTATGGAGCTTGGAAAATTGCTAAAACAGAGAGCCGCACGAGCGAGCTTGAGCCGAAAGCTTGACATTGAGCGCCATTATGATGATCTATCCATCCGCACGAAAGTTGCCCCAATTGAGTGAGTGCAACTGTCGGACGGCAGAGGTCGCTTTTGCATTGATGTAGCCAAATTTATAATTAGGGTTTGTACTAAAGACTCTAAATGACAATCATTTGTTGGTTAAGTTAAGCGGCAAATATGAGTTAGGTAATTGCATATAATTAAGCTCATATATATATACATGTATATTATTAGCCGGCAAATCATTCAAACAACAAACTTAATCATTTTTTGCCGGGAACAAAGTTCACAACATTGCCCGCACAGCTCATTGACCAGCGCGCTGTAGCTTAACATTCAAGATGTTATCGCTTCATTGGAGCTCTGGTAACATAGTAAATGTTATGCTTGCTATGTATGTTGCGGGAGATGCTGATCATGTTATAGACAGTGTTGCCAATTGCCGCTTCAAAACCGTAGCTAAAAAACGCTAAAAATTTAGCTATAAACTAACTGCATTGACAACACTGTTTGTTTAGGAAATTGTTGTTAGGGAAACTGGCAATAATAATGTTATAGAATGTATATGGCTTTTGTTCTGTTAGGTGAAATGCATGGTAATGTTATGTTAAGCGACAGCAGCAGCTGCAAATTGCAAATAAAATTTGATTACACGAAAAAAAAAAAAAATAAAGCGAATAAATTAGTATTGATTGGCAAACAATTAAAGCAAGGCAGAGCAAAGCAAAAAACCAAAATATGCACACATACATATACACATATAGTCAGTCCTAGTCTATACAAATAAATATTCATAAACATTGCGTATGTAAATATGTATTAATGCTTACATGACCCACCAGTTGCGTTTGCAGGCTTGAGAAATTGCGAGCCAGCGGCCGTTGCATTCCCCGGTACTCAGCCAGCGGCCCCTGTAATAGACCATTGTCCTTGCCGGCGGCGATCGGGACGGCGCCGGAGCCGCTAAAGAATCTATCCACATAGACGTTATCATATGGTACGGCGGCGGCACGATTATTCTGTGCTGTAAATTGTTGATTTGTTGTGGGTGGGAGCAGGACAGATACATGCAGTAAATACACATATATATATATAAAGTTAAAACTTTTTGCATTGTGTGTGTGTGTGTGTAATTTTTGGACATTTACCACCAAAGGAGAGGCCCACGGCAAGTGTTGCGGCCGTGCGGCCGGCGGCAAACGGTAGATTTATTGATTTTTTCGCTGCAGTTGCGTAAAATGCAGTGCGAAAGAAATGCGAAGCCATTGTTTATACGTATTTTGTTTATCGTAAACGTGAGGAGCTTAGAAAAAAGAAACGGCATTTGACAACATATTTTTAATATAATTTATAAGCAGCATGTATGCATCTACATACATACACACAGACACACACACATAGATACATTAAAGCAAACGCACACCTAAGTAAGCGATGCACAAAAAATGAACTTTGGACCTGACTGTCGGATGCAGACGAGTTTAATTTAAATTAAATTGGTACATATATATTTATATATGCATGTACAATATACGCAATTGGTGTGTGCGTGCGTGTGTGTGTGTGTGTGCGCGCGTATGCGTAAATGATAGATGCACTATGAAATTTAATGAAGGGTAATCGCATAGTTGAACAGCACTTACGCTTTTTAATCGTCTAACACTTGCTATATTGTTTACCTATACCCAAAAACACACAGACAGGGTCTGAGCACCAAAACGAAAATGAATTACGCCGCTCGTACGCGTCTTTGTTGTCCGAAAACAACAAACACTGTGTGCCTGCAATGCGCCAAATGCAAGAATACCAAAATTATGTCTTATCGATAAATATAGCTCTTGCATGTAATCGATTGTATTGCACATATGTTGGTGCATCAAATTTATGGTGGAAATGTTTTTCTTTAAAAATATCGACTATTGTTTATTAACATTCATACATTTAACTATTTGTTTTTATATGTCCCCACTTCGATAAGTATTTGGGGATTTCGGAATAAGTATCGTTTAAGCTGAACTTCTAGTTGCGCCAATCAAAACAGCTGGTGTCATTCCACTATAAAACTCATCGCTAACTAAAGTTAATCGAATTTGCATAGCTGCATTGTTTAGAGCGCCGTCGCGTTACACATTGGAATATTGTTATTATTTGCTTGCATTTTATATGGCGCAGAGATGTCCTGGCCCTTCAAGTTGGCGGTTGCCTTGCAAGACTTTAGCGCCAGCGTACCAGCACCAGCTGCCGCTGCAAGCAGCAACAGCTGCACCAATCTCTGTAGCTGCAAATGCAAATGCTGCAGCGGCTACATCCAAAAGTACGTAAACTTTGATGCGGAGGCAACAGCAGCCGGCGGACCAGTGCAGAAGATGGTGCGCTTCCGCACCGCAGACATGATGCTGTTGCTACGCGTAGCCCAATCGTGTGAACATTTTTGGAGCAATCAGTATTATAAGGTGGATTTACTGCCGGATTACAGGGCGCTGGGCGCCGCTTTTGAAGCACAGGCGAGCGCCATTAATGTAGCCCAATTGGAGCAAATTATGGATACGATTACAACTGGCTATCGCCGTGCCGTGGCCAAGCTGCGGGACAGTGAGGCGCATGCTGCCCTCAGGCCAACGGCAGCAGCACCTTGCTTCCCGGGTTTGCGTTGTGGCTGCGCTGACTGTGCGCTAATGCCCTGGCGCAGGCTACAGCAGCTGGAGGCACATCAGTGGCTGCACAAGCCCAGCGACAATTGGCACTGCCGCCTATGCTATCGTCGCTACTTTATTCAGCACACGTTGCTTTCGCATTTGAGCAGGGGCACGAGGCGGGGCGAGGTGGGCCAGCTTCTGGCGAATGAGACCTACAAGCTGATGCTCTCGGCTCAGCAGCAACAGGAGCAGGCCGAGCATCAGGAACTGTCTGCACGAGTGGAGCAACTGCATGTGCGCATGCCCAAAGGCACCCATCTAGACTTTGTGTCGGAGTCGGAGGTGCGTGTGCCGCCAGCGCCGCGCAAGCGCTGCATGCTCATTGCTTGCCCAAAGTGCGGTCACAGCTACCTGCACAGCTACAGCCATCAGTTGCATATGCAGAGGCAGCATACGATGATGCAGTGCACCCATCGCTGGCAATGTCCCAGTTGCCCGCGCAGTTTTCGAACGCGTGGAATTTACCTCAAGCATTTACGAAGCGTACGCGATGCCTGTCGCCTGCGTGTGCGTAGATTCAAATGCTCCAGGTGCAAATGGCGCTTCCAACTGGAGCGCTCCCTCAGGCCGCATGTGGCCCAGGCTCACGTGCGCAACTACAGTTGCCTCATCTGCAATTTGCCATCGCAGAGCCGTTGCTGTGATAGACACAGCCGGGAGGAAGCTCGAGTGGCGGTTGGTGAGCACATGAGACAACGCCGCCTGGAACTGGGACATCCTCCACCACCAGAACGCAAAACGCCTTTTAAGGTCTTGTGTAGCACATGCCAAAGGGAATTTCCAAATAGATTTCTGCTCAATATACATGTGAATCGGGTTCACCTGAAACGGAAGGACTTCATCTGCGAAACGTGCGGCAAGAGCTTTTGGAGCAGAAAGGCAATTGAAGAGCATAGGCGAAAAGTGCATCTGATGGCCGACACAGTTTTCTGCGAGCTGTGCAACTTGACGATCAAGGAGAAAGGCAACTATCAGCGCCACTGCGATAGCACTCGTCACGTGACCAATCTGGCAAAGTCGAAGGGCCTTACGTTCATCGAGACGCCTGTGCCAAAGGGGCCGCCCATTTATTGTAAATGCTGCGATCGCACACTCAAGGGACCTTCCACGTTTTACCATCATTGCAAAACCAAGAAACATAAGCGGCGCGCAGCGGAGCAAGACCAGAAACCCGATAATGTCGATAAGGCTCTAAACTAAGTCTACTCAATTAGTATAAAGTTTCCGTTGAGATTAACTCGTTCCTTACATGGCCATCCGTTGGAGTTCTAAATAAGTCAACCTTTGTTTAAGCTGCACTCTTTCAAATGATTCCATTTTATTCTAGCTTTTTTATTTATTAAGTCCACTTGAATATTGCATTAATTGCAAATGTTGTTGCACTATATGAAGATTGATTGTAAGTGAATAATTTCTGAATGTTCACTCGAATGTTATATTATTTATATATAGATATATTATATTACAAATAAGAAAGTTTTGATTTCCGAAATGTAATTTGACTTTGCTTTGGATTTCTCTCAAATGTTGAGTTAATTGTTAATTAAATATTAGAAAAATATAAAACAAAAACTAAGACTGAAGTGAACACAAGGATAAACTGTGAAGAAAACGAAAAGATTGTTTGTAGCTTTGGATAAGACGTTGCTTTGTCAAGAATCGTGGAACGCATAGGATGCTCTTTAAGCAATTTAAGCAAGCCAAAGATTATGGCTCGTATGAGCACAGGCCTTTAGAATTTTCTAATATTCGGCGTGCCGAAGTTCGCTTTTCTTGTCCTTCTATTATACAGGCCAAACATCATCTTTTAGCAAATGATGCTTACTAATTAGTAGTAGTTTTATATTGGTATATTTAACTTTTTTGCTTAATAAAAACAACACATAAAACTAATTGCGATGCAAACTACTGTGACGCCAACTTGGCATCCAATTGCCCCAGATCGACGCCCAGCTCAATGAGGCGTTTCTCCTGCTCCTTGGTGTCCAGTCCATGCTCTTTGTTGTACCTATAGTTGACAGTGAGCTGAACCTCCTCCAAGCCACTTACATGATCGTACAGATTTCCTTCTAGGCGCAGATCAATGTCGCTCTCCTCTCGCAAAATGCAAAAGTAGATCAGAAATAGTGCCAAGCTGGCGGAGATGACGTAGGGCTGATACCACAGGGATTCATCGCTGCCACCGCTGCGAGTGTCGCGGGCACGCCAAGTGGCTGCATGGCTGCCAAAGAATTCTATGGGCTCATTGCTAATTGGCGGCACCTCATCCTTGGCCCCAATGTTGCTGCTGCCGCCGCTGGGCACCTTTTGTGCATAGCCACGAATGCTTGCGGCAGGTATAAGCGATCTGCAACGTGTTGTTATTGTTATGCGACATGAATTAAGCGTTTTGTATATTTATATACCTGAGAGCACGAGCTTTTGTCATCAAACGCAGCATCTTGATGGCAGCCAACAAAATTTCATAACAATTGTCGCAACAGCTGTTTACCGGTCGGCAGTTATCGAAACATATCGATATTTATTGCTTGCCGGCAACACAAATTAGGGATGAGCGATGTATTGACCAATTATATCGCGTTCGCTCGCACACGTGTTGTGTTGGCTGAAAGGTGTAAACACGCGCTGCATTTAAGCGCATAGAAATGGGTGCAACTAAAAATATGGACCTCATAGGCACTATTGAGGATGATGCCGAGGTAGAAAATCTGTCTGAAGACTCGGATGCCGAAGTTGAAGTGAGTATACAATTAAAACAGTGGCTACGCAGCTGCTAACAATTCAATTCTTACGCTGCAGTATCAACCGACCAAGCTACGGCACAAAAAGGTGACCGAGTTTGAGAAGGGTTTTGAATTCGTTTCCTCGGTGAAGGAGTACAATCAGGACACTTGGGATGATCTGATGAAATATGTTAAGCGCAAGGCACGTACAAAGACCGATGACAAAATTGCCGCACGCCTGCAGCAACGAGGTGGCGCCGAGGCTGTGGCCGCAGAGCAGAACGACGAGGAGATTGCGCTCTCCGATGATGAGCTGAAGCACGACAATCTGCGACTGCGTGAAAAGAAACAGAGCAAGAACAAAAAGAAGAAATCCGCCGAAGATGACTTGGACGAGGAGGAAGGCGAAAAAATGCAATTCGATGACACTGTCGAGGCCAACGAGCTGATCACCTCGTTCTATCAAATGAATCTGTCGCGTCCGCTCATGCGCGCCATCGGCGTGCTCGGCTACATTTATCCCACGCCTATTCAGGCGTCTACAATACCTGTGGCGCTGCTAGGTCGCGACATTTGCGGCTGTGCGGCCACCGGCACAGGCAAAACAGCAGCTTATATGTTGCCCACGGTGGAGCGTCTGCTCTACCGGCCGCTAAACAACAAGGCAATTACGCGAGTGCTGGTGCTGGTACCTACGCGTGAGTTGGGTGCCCAAGTCTACCAGGTGACCAAGCAGCTGTGCCAGTTTACCAGCATTGATGTGGGCCTGGCCATCGGTGGTCTCGATGTTAAGGCGCAGGAAACAGTGCTGCGTCAAAATCCTGATATTGTGATTGCTACGCCCGGTCGTCTTATCGATCACATCAAGAATACGCCCAGTTTCAGCTTGGATTCCATTGAGGTGAGCGTACACTGAGATGAAATGCAAAAACTCAGACAAAAGATGATGAATTTTAATCCTTGCGCTCCGAGCTTTTCGATGCTATGCGGATAAAACTCTGGTACTTGCAACTGCGCTGCAGCTGCAAGCTGATTGCCAACAATTTGGGCATCTAAGGTATCCATAATGTCAGGGTAGCTAAAGATTGTTATCTAAATTGCAGGTGCTTATATTGGATGAGGCCGACCGCATGCTGGACGAGTATTTCGCTGAGCAAATGAAGGAGATTATCAACTCCTGCTGCAAGACGCGCCAGACGATGCTCTTCTCGGCTACCATGAGCGAGCAGGTCAAGGATCTGGCCGCCGTCTCGCTGGACAAGCCAGTCAAAGTGTTCGTCAACAATAATCAACAGGTTGCCTTTAATTTGAGACAAGAGTTTATACGCATACGCGAGGATAAGGAGGGCGATCGTGAGCCCATTTTGGCCAGCTTGATTTGTCGCACTTTCCACGATCATTGCATGGTCTTTGTGCAGACCAAGAAGCAGGCTCATCGACTTCACATTCTGCTCGGTTTGCTGGGAGTGCGCGCTGGGGAGCTGCACGGTAATCTGACGCAGCAGCAACGTCTGGAGTCGCTTAAGAAGTTCAAGGAGGAGCAAATTGATGTGCTGATTGCCACCGATGTGGCGGCCCGTGGTCTCGACATTGTGGGCGTTAAGACGGTCATCAATTTCGTGATGCCCATCACCACGGAGCACTATATACATCGTGTGGGTCGAACGGCGCGTGCCGGGCGAGCTGGCATCTCAGTATCGCTGGCCGGCGAGAAGGAGCGCAAAATCGTTAAGGACATTATCAAGAACGCCGAGAGCAGTGTGAAGAATCGCATCATACCACCAGAGATCATTGAGAAGTATCGCAATAAGCTGACGGCACTAGAGCCCGAAATACGTAAGGAAATTTAGCTGAAAGAAATGTACTTCTATTATTTTATTTGCCAATTTTCGCAGAAAACATACTCGACGAGGAGCAGGCGGAACGTCAGCTGGCCAAAACGGAACAGCAGCTGTCTAAAACCGAACGTAAACTGCTGGGCCAGCCCAACGAGAGACGCACCTGGTTCCAAACCAAGCAACAGCGTGAGAATGAAAAAGCTCGTCTAGCGCTCACCTCCAACGACGAGGAGTCCAAGCCAGCGCCTGCAGCTGGTAAGGGGAAAACGGCGGGTAAACGCAAGCGTCCAGAGTACGGCGGCGATGGCGAGGACGGCCCACCAGTTAAGGAGCTAGACGCTAAGCGCAAAAAGAAGAAGAAGGAGGAGCCCAGAAAGAAGACACCAGAACAGCTCGCCAAGGAGCGCGCCATGAAGGAAATAGAAAAGGTATCGCTGGTGCGCGCCAAAATGGCGAAGCTACGCAAACGACCTGGCAAACTGGGTGCTGCCACCGATGCCCCCAAATATGTTGGCTCTACCGGAGGCAAGCCCAAGCGACGTGCCGGACAATCTGCCTTCACCAATGATCTAACTGATGTCAGTCGCAGCGGTGCACTGCGTCTAAGGTGAGTCAAAACTGCCTGGCAATGGACGTTCGCAACTTAAACTTAATAATAATATATTCACCAACAGATCCGAGGCCAATCGGCACAAGAAGATGACTAAAATTGCTGCGAAGAAGAAAACAAGCACTGTGAAGTTAACCAATAAGGCGGGTAAAAACAAATTCAACAAAGGCAAAAACTTTGGTGGTCCACGTTATGCGAAAAAGGATAAAAAGAAATAGTACATATATAAATAAAACAATGAAAAAGTTAAATAACCAGCTTAATTTACATGTAAATAAACATGAATATAATATATCAAAACATATATAGCATATAAACATGGATTATTAATACGCAATTTAAAGGCGGATTAAAGCCAAGCTGTTCAGTGTGACCAGCACAGTTGTTAGTTTCAGCAACTGGTGCATTTCTTGTCTGTGCGCCTTGGCCACACTGCGTTCTAAGCTTTTCAATTTTATTTAGTTTTTTGCTTTACGCTGCGCAATTTTTTTAAGTATTATAATTGGGATGTACTAAATAAAATTGAATTGGACGCGCGCAACTAAAACAACAAAATGACCGACAAATGTATTTTTGGCCCACCGCCGGACTCGGATGATTCTGACTGCAGCAGCTATGACGGCTTTTACTTCTCTGAACCTGTAAGCAAATAACTTGGTCCACTCATTTAGTTGAGCACAAGCCCCTTTTTATTTAGCTGAAGCGGGAGAAGTTCGTTCCGCCCGTGCAACGCGACCAGAAGCTGCTCGATGCGCTGCTGGAGGGCAATTTACAGGGTGTGCGCGAAGAAATCGATGCGCTCCAATTCCATGTGGATGGCACCGTATGCGGAGGCCTCACAATGCTGATGTATGCCTGTCGCGAGGGGCACTACGAGGTGGCCGCTTACCTGGTCAACCAGCTCGGAGCGAATGTTAACAAGCAGATAGACTCCACAATGCCGCTGATGTTCGCCTGTGACTGCCAGGCGAACGACCCGTATGTGGCTGAGAAGCTCGTACGCTTGCTGCTAAGCAAGGGCGCTGTCATCAATGTGTCCGACAAGTATGGCCTGACGCCTTTTATGTTTGCCTGCCGCAGAGGCTACACTAACGTTGTGCGCCTGCTGATCAAAGAGGTGAGCTTCGATGCGACCGACAATCAGGGCTGCACGCCCATCTTTCATGCGATTGAGAACAATCATGCTGACATAGTCAAGTTGCTGGTGGATGCGGGCGTTAATGCCAGCCTGGCCAACAACAAGGGCTACACGCCCAAACAGGTGGCCGAATTTCATGGATTTTACGATCTGTTTGAGCTGCTGCCGCGTGATCCTGCTGCCACTTATATGGTGCCGTCGGAGTTTTTCGTCTACAACACGCTGCGTGATCATGTGCCACGCATTTTTCTGAAAACCGAGTGTCCGGAGTACTTTCAGGAGCTGAGCGGCATCTTAAACTCTGTGGATATGGCAAATATGCTGGAATATTTTGCCAAAGCGCGCACCTCACTGGCCGAATTCCTAATTATGGATGATGATGATCTCAGCAAGATAGGCGTTAAGTTTCCCATCTATCGTAACAAGATCAGGAAGGGCATACTAGAGTAAGTGTTAACTGGGTTCTAAGTCATGTATTTAGTAATTTACGATTTACCTATGCGCTGTAAACAGCTTTCACTTGCATCACTGGTCTAGGAAATCAATTGCACGGGTTAAAAAGGACGGCATGGATAAGTAAATGAAACACATTAAGTTGTTGAGCACACTTTTAATATGGCTTTAAATTGCAGCTTCTATGAGATACTTATGATCACCGCCAATCACTTACAGCACTTGGTTATCATACAAGCCTCGCTGCGCTTCGTCATCCAGAATCAAATGAAAGGGAAACTGGGCCAGCCATTGGAAATGCAGTTATCCAACTTGCGGAGCAATTTGAGAGCATATCGCGGCGTTATAGACGATCTAACCAAGACGGTTAAATATGTGAGCAAGTATATTTATAAGTATATCGAGCCTATTAATAAACGAACGACTTTAACAGCTTGGTTCGTTCAGTCCGGACAAGAGTCCGCTATATATTGACTACAATGAGATTCTCGCCGAGCGCAAGCGACGCAAGGTGCGCAGCGTCTTCAAATACACAACCATTATTTTGGGCATCTCCGTATTTCTTTGCTTAAAATGTAAATGGTTCTTTTAAACACGCACACGTACACAAGCGCAAGCCCAGCACACGAATAATAGAATTTCTAGAATTTCCGTTAATGTTTAAACACAACGCAGTACAAATAACCGTAAACTAATCATTTCGAAATTCTCGAATCAAAATAGGTTAAGTTAAAACGCTTTATGAACTGTTATCTGAAGTTTATGTTTAACAAAAAAAGTGTTAAAAAAAACGTTAATTGTTAATAAAAATTAACAAAAACAAATTTTGGATTTAAATCGAAGAACTGACGTCACAGTTTCTACAATCGATAGGCTATACAAAGACCAGATTATCCATTTTCGAAAGTCGATAAATCGATATTTTTCAAGTGACATCACTAGTTTGTTTACAATGCTTAGTTAAGCAGCGAAATTTTGGCGCCATTATGGAGCCTGGAGTCATAAAAAAGCTAGACGAGGTGGTTGTCAATCGAATAGCCGCCGGTGAAATTATTCAGCGTCCAGCAAACGCACTAAAGGAGCTGTTAGAAAACAGTCTGGATGCCAAATCGAGTCACATTCAGGTAACCATCAAGTCCGGCGGCCTCAAGCTGCTTGAAATCCAAGACAATGGCACTGGCATACGCAAGGATGATTTGTCCATTGTTTGCGAGCGCTTTACCACCTCCAAGCTGAGCAAATTTGAGGATCTGACAGAAATTGCAACATTCGGTTTCCGTGGCGAGGCACTAGCTAGCATTAGCCATGTAGCCCATCTGAGCATACAAACCAAGACGGCCAGCGAGCGCTGCGGCTACAAGGCCACCTACTCGGATGGCAAGCTGCTGGCCCCACCAAAACCGTGTGCCGGCAATCAGGGCACTATCATCACCATTGAGGATTTGTTCTATACAATGCCACAGCGTCGTCAGGCGCTCAAATCCCCCGCGGAAGAGTTTCAAAAAATATCCGATGTGCTAGCCAAGTACGCTGTCCACAATCCACAAGTGGGTTTCGTTCTGCGCAAGCAAGGCGAACAGCCGACACTGAAGACACAAGCGCGCAGCTCGCGTGCGGAAAATATTCGCGCCATTTACGGCGCCGCCGTTGCCAAAGAGCTGATGAACTTTAGCCATAAGGACGATATGTTCAAGTTTGAGCTGGAGTGTCAGCTTACCCAGGTTAACTATGCGGTAAAGAAGTCAACGCTGCTGTTGTTTATTAATCATCGACTGGTCGAGTCGCCGGGTGAGTGGTTGACATTAGAATTGCATCGCTTGCTAATCCTCTCGAGCTTGCAGCACTTAAAGCCGCTGTGGATGCTGTGTACGCCACTTATTTGCCACGAGGTCAACATCCATTTGTTTACATGAGCCTTATGCTGCCGCCACAAAACCTGGACGTCAATGTACATCCCACCAAGCATGAGGTGCACTTTCTTTACCAAGAAGAGATCATTGAGCGCATCAAGCAGCAAATGGAGGCTAAGCTGCTGGGCAGCAATGCTACCAGAAGCTTTTACAAGCAGCTCAAACTGCCAGGCAGCTCGCAGCTGGAAGTAACCCAAACGCAGGACAAAACTCAGCGCATCTACGAAAAGAAATTGGTTCGCACCGATTCCACAGAGCAAAAGCTAGATAAGTTTTTTAAGACGCTGGAGAAAAGTGATTCGGGCCTGTCTTCTAGCTCCGGCAATGAAACGCCAGCGGCAACACAGGACGAAAGCTTTCGGCTAACAGCGGCGCGCAAATCAAAAGAGGTGCGTCTAACCAGCGTGCTGAATATGCAGCAGCGTGTAGAGCGCCAGTGCCATGTGCCACTACGCACCATTTTGAAGCAGCTCGTCTATGTGGGATGTGTGGATGAACGGCGTGCGCTCTTTCAGCACGAAACGCGCCTATACATGTGCAATACTTACGCCCTGAGCGAGGAACTATTTTACCAGCGATTGGTCTACGAGTTCCAGAACTGTGCAGAGATAAGCGTGGTGCCGCCACTGCCGCTGCAGCAGCTGTTGCTTATTGCACTGGACAGTCGTGCCGCCGGCTGGGTGCCGGAGGATGGTGACAAAACGGAGCTGGCTGCGAATGCGGTGTGCATACTGCAAGAGAAGGCGCCCATTATGCGCGAGTATTTCGCTTTGCGCATTTCGGAACAGGGCTGCCTGGAATCCTTGCCAGCACTGCTGGGACAACATATTCCCAGCCACGCACAGCTGCCCATTTATCTGCTGCGGCTGGCCACCGAGGTTGACTGGGAGCAGGAGGCGCAATGTTTTGAGACTTTCTGTCGCGAAACGGCGCGCTATTATGCCCAGCTAGACTGGCAGTATGATGGCGATATGCGCAGCCAGCACTGGTACATGGAGCACGTGCTGTTTCCAGGCTTCAAGAAATTCCTCCTGCCACCGGCGCGTCTAAAGCAGCATCTCTACGAACTGACCAGTTTGGCCATCTTGTACAAGGTCTTTGAACGCTGTTAGCTATTGTTCTTAGGCATAAATTCCAAATATGATTTTAAATTCCCAATTTAATCATAACAAAGAGGTTCAATAAACAATACCTATACCTAGTACTAGCTAACTAATTAACTAAGCACAACCAGCCCTGCAATAAATCGAGTAAAAATATGTCTGTGTGTGTGTGTGTACATTAAATGATGTATTGTATCTGTGTAGTGTTGTGTGTGAATGTGTGTGTAAGGATGATCGAGTGTATATCGTCTGTATCCACATATTCTGCAGCAAGCTTTGTTCTTGTTCAATTCGTCAAACGTAAAACGAAATACTTTGTCGAAAGCGCGAAACCGGAAGGTGGGGGAAGCCACAGGGAAAACCATACCCAAGGCAGACAGCAAGTTTTGTCGCCTTGTTTACGTTTTCCCAACAAAATATTAGTTCTGCCGGTAATAGGTCAGTTCTGGCTGCCGTAGCCGTGTGATCTTCTCCGCATTTTTGACGTGTTGCTTCAGTAGCTTCATGATCTCCGTTTCATATTGCTCAGGAGTTGGCTTAACGCCCGTCGCCCAGTAATAAATATCCCAATCGTTGCTAACGCCATTGATAAGTTCATCGTAGATCGCCGTCTGTTTGGCATCGAAATTCTTGAGGTATTTGTGCGCAAAGGTGCTCAATAGCAGATCATTCTCAAGCATGCCCCGCTTGCGTGATTGATACAGCAGACTGTTTTTGCAAATACATTATTGGAATGGCATCCATTAAGCATCACGTACAAAATACTCTTACCGTTGCTTGCGTTTAGCCAATGGCTCATCCGGACGCTTTGGATACTCGGGCAATGGCAAATCGGGATCTTCGAAGTCTACAATAACATCGTCCTTGGTGCTGCTCGATTCGGAGGCACAGCGTTGCCAGGGCACAGATCGTACCAAATTACGGCACCGCTGTTCCAAGAAAACAAAAAAACAAAAAAAAAGGATGAAATGCGCTTGCACAAATTACGCAATCGAAATGCATTTATTTATTTTGAAGTTTACTTACGAGCAGCTGAGGCAACATAACCAAACACAAATTTTGGAAAATCTTTTCGAAAAATCAAATTTTACGATGAATTTTGTTTTTTGTTGTTTACAGCAACGTGTTCCAAAACCGAATGCTGGATTATTAATATTGCAGAGTATTTGTTGGTTTTGGCGCCGCCTGCTTCGCTTTTAAAAATAAATATAACAGGGCTACTAGAAACGTATAGTACCAGGGCTGCTGAACATTGTTGTGCTAGCATTCAATCAATGATTATTAGGTATGACAAAATTTGCGCCGCCAGTTCATATATCGATATGCATTTGATTTTCAATGGCTTAAATGATTTAAAATGGTAAAAGATAAGAAAACTTTATATATTTGTTGTTAGAAGCTAGTGAACACATTTATGTTCATACATGACTGCTGCGACTTGACGTTGTATAGATGTGACGTAGCTCTTACTCACAGCTAACACTCTCAGCATGTTCTTGCGCAAAGCGTTACCTTCATAACTATGCACTACATGAATCGCTGTGTTTTTACTCAGTCTTCTTTCGGTTTTCTTAGCGTGTGGTGGGACAGCGGCACGCGAGTTTCATTTTATACGCCGACGCAAAAATACATAAATATACATACATATGGCAAAATATATAAAAAAATTATGTAAAAAATAAATATCTGTATGTATGTAGAGGCAACGCCGTGCTTACACTTTGTTTGAGCCTTGTGCCTAATTCCCAGCTTGCGTGTGTTAGTGTTAAGTGTATTGGTGTGTGCGCCTTTGTGTGTGTCCGCTTATATTTGTTATTCGCGCGGCAAAAAGAAAAAAAAAACAACAAAACCGAGTAAAAAGTAAACAAAAAATATCGCTGCCACAATTTGCGGCACAAAAATGCTGAATATATAAACAAAACAAAGTACATTTTAAGCAATAGCTGCTTTCCGCGTGTGTGTGTGTGTGTGTGTAAGTGTGAGTGCGCGCTTTGTTTTTGTCTTATTTTTACGTAAAACAACAGCAGCAGCAGCAACAACAACAACAACAACAGCCGCAGCAGCCAGAGCAGCAGCGGCAAAATGCCGGCGACAGCGAATTTGTGCCTGTTGTTGTTGCTGCTCTTCGTAGTCGCCGTCGTCGCTAGCAGCAAATCGATGCAGCAACAGGAGTCCGGCTCCACAGCAGGAAAAACAAAAACTCTGAGTCCCTTGACTGAGAAAGGTAAGCCTTAATTTGTTGTTAATCTCTGCTGCGGTGCATTAACCCGGCAGCAGTGACGTCGTCGTCAGCATTGAAGTCGCCTGGCGTCGCTTGAGTAAACATATTAATGCGGTCTCGCTCACGCTCTACCGTTTTGGGTACCTTTTTCTCGTTCTTTCGCTCTTGCGTAGGCCAAAAATAACAAACAGCGCCACGCCTGCTTCCCCTCGCGCCTTTACTTTTGTTATGCAAATTCTTTTCCTCGTTTCAAAAATATCCACAAACAAAGAAAAAAAAAAAAGAAACACACAATTTGTTTTGTTATTTTTCTGGATTTGCTTGGAATTTTATTGCCGCAGCAAGTGAAATGTGGCGTACGCAAAATTTTTGCAAGACAAAACAACAAAAGCTGCAACTGCCGATTTAACCCATTGTTGCCCCCCGTTTCCCCACTCAGCTGTCAGCGACTGCATTGCCATGAATCGCACTCCATTGGCTATTTGAATGCCAGCTAATAAGCAACAGAAAAATTTAAATAAATATGCGAATAATAAATAGCTACAATTATGTACATGCCTATAGTACACATATATATATACGTGTAAAAAAATGTGTTAGTGTGTGCAGCGCAGTACCTCAAATGCGGCGGCCCCCGACGACCTGTGGCCGCATTATGCATTCGCATGCTTTAGAATGTCGAAAGCGCAAGAAGAAGCAGAAAATGGGCGGAGTGAAGGGGAAATGAGTCAACTAAACGTTGAGCTCGTTAAATTAGACTAAAGAATCGTAAACAATATACAAATTAAAGTAACCATTTCCTCATTTGGTGATATTAAGCGACAATTGGTCTGGGAACCTAATAAACTTTTATATTCTACATATAAATATATTTATTTAGATATACGTATGCATAAATGTGAACACTTAAGTCCGAGACGAATCAGTCTAAAGTTCTTTGAAAACAAGTCAACGAGTCACATATTCTAGAATTTTAACAAAGTATTCCATTGAAGATCTGGAGATTCAGCAAATAAACAAGAAACAAGCTCATCTTGCTCTTAAAACATAGAAACTCTCACAGATTTAACGTTTTTTTTTTCAATATTTTTCAATACTCAAAAGTTGAAAAAGTTTGTATTTCATAGTTATTTATGTTTTCATTGTGACGCTTGCATTTGGCGAGTTTGCTCAAATATTTTGATACTACAAGAACTTGTTTGTATTAACATGCATACAACAAAATTATAGACATAAGCAAAGCTCTAGATATAAAACTATCCTGACTGACTAAATAATTGACTGACTGACTTACTGACTAACTGACTGACTGACTTATTGGTGATGTTGCTCGCTAAGATATTCCACCCGCATGTATCGAAAAATTGTTACAATTTGGGGAGTGTTTCATACCTTTCGAAAAACTGTGGAAGCTGGGGTCAAAGATTTGGTGGGTTTTGTCCGATTTGCATCAGCTACGAATCCCTATATCATATTGCTGCTAGAGATGGTTCGTCCAAAAATTACGTTACTTTTACACAAAACTTTCTCGTATTTTACGATATCTTAACCGAACTTGGCATATAAGAGCTCTATCTTTATTTACAATTTGCCAAAAATGAATATATAAAAACGGAGAAATATTCCAAAAGTTTTCTTAACATTTTTCTAATCCTTTAGTTCTGCTCCATTGAAATAAGCATTTGGAGCAATCTAAAATTAGTTCAACTGCTTTTTAATTTGATTAGGAAATATACAAAGAAATGTTGAGCTTGACTTTTCTAGATTCCGCAAACCATTCCACGTGCTATGCCTGGTTTCTGGTCAATTGCGCGGCCCATTGCACTCCTGCATACACTTTCCTTCTGCTCAATTCCGTCTTTTGCTCAATTGCGCTCCCCTGGCCTGGCCCATGGTCCCTTTCCGGGCTGCGAACAATCTGTAAACACGCCGCCGCCTCGCAAGGACAATTTGTGTGCTGGGTTAAAATGATGAAGGCCCGTGTGAAGTGGGCCACAGTAAAACGATGCCGCCGCGGGCAGCAGCAGCACCGGCAGCGGCAGCGGCACAAGGGACTGGCTAAAGTATGGGCAGACAAAGGGGACAAAGGTTCTCTCGCTCGCACTTTCGCTCTCTTTCTAGATGCAACCCCAGCAGAGGCGGCGACGGCGGCGGCGGCAGCGGCAGCTGTTGGGTCCATTGCCCTTGCCAACCCCCCCTCTGCAACGCGTGCGGACGGAAATATTGCGGAAATCGTTTATCATGTCGCCAATGGCTGCGTTTTAATAATTGCTGCAAACGCGACAAAACGGCTGCAGCGTCAGGGAGCGAGAGAGCGAGAGAGAGAGAGAGCGAGTTGACAGCCAATTAGTTTATGCATACAAGAAAATGTAAGTCACCTTTGACCAGGCCGAGTTTAACGTACCGATTTCCTATTTTGTTGTGTTTTTGTTTGTTTGTTTGCTTGAGCTGGCGCTGGGCGCAAGTTCAAGAGCAAACGATAACCTGTGCACAGACGATTAAGTAACAACAACAACAACGACAACAGCAACAAGAAGAGCACAAATTACAACAGCAACAAACAAGTCTTTACACACACACACACACACACACATACACGGACATAAGTCACACCTGCTTATGGCCGGGCAAACAAGCCCACAAAATTAAAAAAAAACAACGTCAGGTTGAGCGAGCCACTGGGCGAGTGAAACAGCTATAGATAAGCAGTAAGAGTGACAGAGAGAGGTATGGTAAAAAGTCTGCTGTCGCTTGTGCAAACAAACAATGTTAAGCAAAAGAAAAAAAAATAATAATGCCAAGCAACTGGACAAGCCGGCCGGCTTTAACTCTTGAGCAATACAAGCAACAACAACAACAACAACAACAGCAAACGAGATGGAAAACTCCGCAGATTGAATGCTCTAAGCCAAATTATCTGGCAAGGAAAGTTCTGGCACTACAGAAACTTCCTGAAGCAGTTAATGGCATTTTAAGTGAAAAGGACCCCAAAACGCATGATTCCACTCATTTATATTATTTTTATTATATTGGGCGAGCGGTTTTTTGTTTCGTTTTTTTTTTTTTATTGTTTTTGCTGTTTTGCACATTCCTTCCATCAAGTTTTCTACAACCTCCTAAGATTGGACTTCAAAGGTATTTCAAAAATGTTTTGCCTATAAAAAACGACGCATAAGGTAAACTAGACCTTAAACACCGTTTACATATATTATAAAAATTAGTACTTGAAAGCAGGAGAATATATATATATATAAATGGGATATATGTTTACATACCTTTTAGACTGGAATGTCAGTTCTACTTCCTTAGTGTTCTGTTGTTTCAACTGGCAACTGGTTTAAAAAATTACAACGAAAATTCTAGTTTAATAGCCCACTACGTTTTTGATAATATCTCAGTGCCAATCCAGTGCTATCCAGCACTGTCCTGGAAACCATCCAAAGAGTATGCCAAATAAGTATGCCAAAACAGCTGACAAATTCGCAATACCCGAATCCAAACAGATATGCAGTAGAGCAACTAACAATCGTTTTAGTTGTATGCTTAGCTAGTACATAAATATGTGGATGTACGTTTAAGCCCGTGTGTGTCTGCTACAAATGAGGTCCAGACAAACTGAAGAGGGGCAAATGGAAGTGCTAAGGAAGCGGCGTTTAAGGATATGCATCGGCAAAGCTTATGGGCAAATAATCATAAGCAAACAATTAAGCGCTGACGTTGCTTTTGACCGTGTTATTTGCCTAACCGAAACTTGGCCAGAGAAACCGGGCGTTACGAGTGCTTGGTTTTTGGCCTATTCTTTTTTATTTTCATTAGTTCTTCGAGTTTATTTTGTTGGTATCTATATTGATTTATTGCACAATTCATTGTTGCTGCTCATTGGCTACAACTGGCGGTTGTCTCATTCGTTTTGTACTTAGTTGCAAT